TGCAAAATATTTTCCTTTTATACTACAGAAATGAGAATCTCATCAATAAATTAGTTCAAACATAAGATGAAAACAGAACATTCTGTGGTGCTAGTGCACACTACCTTCCCACCCATACACATCCACGTTCACTGTAACAAAGCGAATATTCACAATAAAGCTTCTGAGTAACTTTCTGATTACTCATGATAAACTGATTACTCATGATAAACCTAAGTCAGATAAACTGATATAACTGCAAGAGTCAAATATTCTGAGAGTAATAGTTTATGATGACTCAGTGCTGCCAGAGTAAAGTTTCTAAAATAACATTCCTCTCGCTTGTTCCCCACTAAAAGTATTAGTCTACACATTGCACTGAAGTTAAACACAAAATTATCAGTGTTTTAGAAATATGAGTCTGGACTGTGTAAATAAAAGTACAAACATTATTTCCATCATAAAGTAAGTATTGAAATCAAGTTGTCTCTGTGTGCTATTCCCAGAATACATACTTATTCCTATTTTAAGCATTTGCTTCTGTTTTTTTTCCCTACCTAGAATGTCAGATGTTTTTCTATTATCTCCCCATTTGTCGGTTCACCTGAAGATAACATTTTTCATTAAAGCATCTGAGATCTAAGACTACAATTATTATTCTAACAGTGATTATTAGCTTGTTCACTTATTTTGATAACTAATGATCATAACTATTATACTACTTTCTCATTATTTTGTGTGCATGCCTCATTTCCCTGTGACTTAAACCTCACTGAGAGCGCAAAATGCAGCTTCATACTTTATACTTTCAATTGCCTAGCACGATAGTGAGCACATTTGAATTGAATATACAATAAATATTGCAAAATAAAATCCATCTAAATAGAAGGGTTCTGTTTTATTTGGAAAAATTGAATCTTTAAACTGTCATAATCTTGAATGTTTGTCATCTTTCTAGTTTTCAGAAAAATAATGTATTCTTATATCATTTTTATGATAAAACTTATGGAACAAAACACCATAAAATAACTCTCAGATTAAGAAAAAATTCAAAAGTCAGTAGTTTTAGATAAGATGATGATAAGTGAGAAAGAGCATTGGTAAAAGGTATGAATTCTAGAATTAAAGAAATAATTTGGGGATTTCTAGATAAGAAGATATGAACATGCATACCTTATACCTTCATATACACAACCTTAAATCACAAATAAAACAAAATAAACAATACAAATTATACCACCAAGATCCAGATGATATCAGAGGAAATCATTAGGGAAAGTAAAAATATGCTGTCTCCATTATATTCACAATGTTTCATTCTTGACACTAATAATTAAAGAGGCTTTAAATTTTAAAATAATTTACTTCTTACATTGCTGAAAAAAACTAAAGACATACATAAACGGAAAGGTATCTTGTGTTTATGGATGGGAAGATTTAATGTTGTTAATACAACAATACTATCCGATATGATATGCAGACTGAACACAGTTGCCATCAAAATCTCAATGATGCTTTCACACAAATAAAAAAGAATTCAACTTAAAATTCATATGGAACCTCAAGAGACTCCCAAACAAACAGAAGAATCTTGAAAAGAAGAATAAAGATAGAAGACTCATATTTCCTAACTTCAACATTTACAACAGAGATACAGTAATGAAAACAGTGTGTGGCTGAGCGCAGTGGCTCACACCTGTAATCCCAGCACTTTGTGAGGCTGAAGTGGGCCAATCACTTGAGGTCAGGAGTTTGAGACCAGCCTGGCCAACATGGTTAAGCTCCGTCTCTACTAAAAATTCCAAAAAATTAGCCAGGTGTGGTGGCAGGTGCCTGTAACCCCAGCTACTGGGAGGCTGAGGCAGGAGAATCACTTGACCAGGAGGTAGAGATTGCAGCGAGCTGAGATCACACCACTGCACTCCAGCCTGGGCAACAGAGCAAGACTCTGTCAAAAAAAAAAAAAAAAAGAAAACAGTGTGGTACTAGCATAAGTACAGACATGCAGACCAATAGAATAAATTAAACAGCCCAGAAATAAACCCTTCCAAATAGGGTCAGATACTTTTCAACATAAGTACAAAGACCATTCAGTGGAGAACGCCAGTCTCTTCAACAATGGTGCTGGGAAAACTGGATATCCATATACAAAAGAATGACGTTGGACACCTACCTTATGTAATATTAAAAAACGATCTAAAAGACCTAAACTTAAGGGCTAAATTATAAAATTCTTAGAGGAAAATATAGAGGAAAACCTTTATGACATTGAATTTGGCATGAAATTACTTGGATTTGTCACCAAAAACACAGGTAAAAAAGAAACAATAGATAAAATGGTCTCCATCGAAATTGAAAACTTTTGGGAGAGATTTGTTAAAGGATACAAAATTACAGTTAGGTAGGAGGAATAAGTTCTATACCATTGTAAGATGACTATAGTTAACAATAAGGTATAGTTTCAAATAGCTAGAAGATACTGATGGTTCCCAACACAAAGAAAGGGTAAATGTTTAAACTGATGGAAATGCTAATTACCCTGATCTGATCACTATACATTATACATATTGAAACATCACTATGTACCCTATGAATATGTAAAATTACTATTAGTCAATTAAAAATTAATTAAAAATAAATTTTAAAAATTAAAAATTTCTCTTCATCAAAGGGCACTATCAAGAGTCAAAAGACAACCCAGAGAAAGTATTCTGAAATCATATATTTAAGAAGAAATTAATATCTAGAATATATAAATAACTCTACAATTCAACAACAAAAAACAACCCAATTCAAAAATGGGCCAAGGACTTGCAGAGACATTTCCTCAAAGATATACAAACGGCCAACCAGCACATAAAAATATGTTTAACATCACTAACCATTAGGAAGTTGTAAATCAAAACCACAATGAGCTATCACTTCCTACCCATTAGGTTGGCTATAGCCAAAAAAAAAAAAAAAAAAAGGCAGAAAATAACAGTTATTAAAGTAGTTGTAGAGAAACTGAAGTACTTGTGCTTTGCTGGTGTAAAATGGTACAAGCACTGTGAAAAAGAGTATGTGGTTCTTCAAATAATTAAACATAGAATTACCTTATGATCCAGCAATTCTATTTCCAGGTATATAATTACACTTAAAAGAATTGAAAGGGGCGCAAACAGATTATTAGCACACTAATGTTCACGGCTGGATTATTCACAATAGCCAAAAAGTAAAAACAACCAGTGCCCATCAGCAAATGAATGGATAAACAAAATGTATATACATTTAACGGAATATGATCCAGCCTTAATAAAAAAAAAAAGGCAGGGGGAGGGCACTGGGCTTGGGAGGCCAAGATAGGTGAATTGCTTGAGCCCAGTAGTTCGAGACCAGCCTGGGCAACATGGCGAAACTGCATCTCTACAAAAAATACATAAATTAGCTGACATGGTGGCAGGCGCCTGGAGTCCCAGCTACTTGGGAGGCTGAGGTGGGAGGATCACCTGAGCCAGGGACAGTCAAAACTGCCATGAGCTGTGATTGCAACACTGGACTACAGCCTGGGTGACAGAGCGACACCCTGTCTCAAAAAAAAAAAAAAAAAAAAAAAAAAAAAAAGAAATCTGACACTTGCTATGACATGGAGAAACTTTGAGGACATTATGCTAAGTGAAAGGTCAATCCACATATATGAGGTACCTAGAATACTAAAATTCATAGAAACAAAAAACAGAACAGTGGTAGCAAGCGCTAAGAGAAGGCAGGAATGAGGAGCTAATGTTTTATGGGTATGTTTCAGTTTGGGATGATGAAAAACTTCTGGAGAAGGATAGTGGTGATGGTTACAAAACATTGTGGATATTGGTGATGGTTACAGAACAATGTGATTGGTTTTTTCCACCCTAGTAATGTTAAAACTAGCAAAGACCAGCTCCTAGAAGGTCTCTACCCTCTATAGGAAAAATACACCAATTATACCTCCATACCTGCCTGGAAAGCACATAGAGTCATATCAGCTTTGGAAATGGAGACCAGTGCTCCCACTTTCCATCACCCATTCAAATGCATAAGGAAACAGCAACATTAGGTGATTCATTTATTACCGTAACAGCCAGCACACTCCCCGGTCATTACTGTATTGTACCACTTGCGAAGCAGAAATCTTTAATTTTTCTGGCACGAGACTACATATGATAAAATACAACAAAATCATGAGAACACCTCAAGGTACTGTAGTACAGAACTGCCCATGTTTCTTCGTGGAAAAAAATCCTAGGCCTGACAGATTTTATTAGCTCAACCAAACAGAATAAATAATAATAAAAAACAATAGAATCCCAAATAAAGGAGAGTTAGTACAAGTCCTAAAAACAATAGTCATGACCTGGTTAGGCTTTTGAGGGAATCTGAACCTTGAAATATTATTTAAGTTGACTTTTGGAACTGGTTTCTGTGTGGATTAATGCTGTCAATAATTTGATGCTATCCAAATGAGTAGAACCCGAGGTATTCCAATGCAACCAAACTTAATTTCAGTTATGCCCAAAAACAAAGAAAGGGAATAAAAAGAAGTACTTTAAAGTACCCATATCAGGCTTTAGGAAGCATTACTTCACAAGAATCAGGCTTTGGTATTTAAACTTGAAATGTACAATTGAGAAGCTGAAAACACAGAGTCTGGCTCAGGAAGTTAGCAGTATACCACTACATGATAAGCCTGCTGTGATGACATTCTTTATTAACATTTGTTGTTTTACTTCAAGTACTCTTGAAAGAATGGTTTTTCAAAATGTGCATTTTAAATAAATTTGAATATAACCACACTTCTTTCAAGACATTCCACAATATAAACTGTGTGCCGATTTGTACAGAAGCAATCCTCCTCCAGTTATGCCAAATAATCGCAAATTCCAAAAGTCAATGAGAATATTTTCTACTGTTTGAAAGCTTTTAAGAAAAGGATGTATGGATGAATCCCCAACTAATATCAGCTTTGTTTTCCATATATGTTTAAATTCAAAAACTTCAGACTTTACCTTGAAATGTTGAAACGTGCGCTTACGATATTCAAACCACTCCACAAAAAAATGCAGGCTTCGAAAAAACATGAACAGATCTTTTCTGTCTTCTGCTCTGTAGGAATAAATGATCCTCTGATTAATAAATATCATTAAATGATAGACCCAATCTAGCTTTATTTCTTATTTTTCCTTTTCATGTATCCTACACTAAAATCAAAAGCTACTTGATGTAGTTCTACATATCAATTCCTGCACTTGTCTGTGTGTGTTCCTCTGGTGTGACTGCTAATGCTACTTTCTCAGCCTAGAACACCCCTTTCCCCATTTTCAAATGTTTAAGTCTACCTATTATTCAAATCACTCAAATGCCACATTCTCTGAAACTTTATTCGATGACTGTAGTATAATAAAGAATAATGAAGAATAGACAGTATGTAAGTGCCAGTTTCTGGCATAGTGCTTTAAAACCTTTGGAACTTCCTGAGTGATAGATGTGTCTTTGTTATGCTAACGAGCTGTCTCACAGTGGCTCCTACATATTGCAGACTGGAGGCGCTTCACCAGGAAAACACATCGAACACATCACCAAACACATCATTTGAGGGCTAACCAGGAGCATGGCAGAGCTTCCTGGTTGGTGAATACACTGATGTGCTGGGAGGATAATGTGCCTGGATTCCACAAGGAATCTCTGTCTCCCCAACCCCCAGACCTTCATCTACGCATTACTTCCATTTGGCTGTGTCTGGGTTGTATCCTTCATAATAAAATGCTAATTATAAGTCTAGTGTTTTCATTAAGTTCTGTGAGTGGTTCTAGTAAGTTATTAAACCTGAGAGATTTGTGGGAACTCCAGAATTTATGGCCAGTTGGTCCTAACTGCAGGTGGACCCTGACACTTGCAGCTGGAGTGTGAAGTGGAGACACTCTTGGTGAAGACCTCTGCCTGTAATCTGGAGGTCTGTTAGTGTGAGAACTGAACTGAGCCGCAGGACATCCAGTTGGTGGCAGAGAGTCCTTGTCAGAACAACCACCACACCACATATCCTATTCCCTGACAGCTAGAAATAATCTCATTCCTTTGCCTATGAGAACTCTCACAGGAATGAGTCTTAATTCTCTTAATAGTACATCTATATTAAGAATGTAAGCCACATACACCACAAGTAACTTGAAGGTAAGAACCACGTATCATTTAATCATTCATTTGATAAATGATTGCGGGAGTTGAGTTCCTGTGCCAGTCATGATAGAGTAAGCATATTCTACCCCAATGCTTCCATGACCTATAATTTAAAACCATGGACACAGCACATAAAGCAAACATCAGAAACTCTGAAATGTGGAAAGAAGAAAGCAGGTCAGGTAGAGTCTTCAGGAATCAGGGAGGATCTGGAAATGAATTCCTTAGGATTTATTTTTGCCTCCTGTATATCCCAGTCTGTACACAGGAGCTAATTGCAACCCAGAATTACCAAAGGGTACATTAACAACAACAACAACCCAAAAAGCCTCGGGAAAGACCATTCCCTCTAGCCAATGGAGATCGTGCAAGATGAAAAGAAACAGGCCTGGCAGAAGGGAACCCTAATGCCAAAGAGGAGCTGTGCCCCTTTCACTCCTAATCAGGCACTTTAGCCACAGAGGCTGAGGTGTGAAGCCTGTCGACTATCACTGCCAACAATAAGAAAAGCAGGCAAAGCACAGTCCTCACCTCCCAAATGGGTACTGCTACCAGAAAGACTGAGAGAGGAAGCTTTGTCAGCAACGCCCGCCTAACACCAAGCAAACAGAAGCGAAGAAAGGATGTCATTTCTGTTCTCGACCAACATGGCAGCTGCACACACAGTGGGGTGCTCTATTAACTTTCCACACCCTGCACGTAAGTCATCCCAAGAAGAGATAAGGGAGAATCAGAGAAGAGGAGCCTTCAGACAAGAATCTTTTACATCTGTTTATGAAGTCCTAAATAACTCATACATAAAACGAACCAGAATCTACATAGAAAAAAATACTGAGAACTGAATTATAGTGTAGAATAATTTCCAGAATTCACATTGGCCTTGGGATAGTACATGAGTGGGGCAGACCACAACAGGATATTGAACTACAGACTAAAGTGGGCTGGGGTGTGCTTTTGACTTAGAAATGCATCAATAAGAACAACAACAAAAAAAATGGCAAAGTAGGAAGTGCTAGGGGTCATCCTGTCTCAGAAACACTGAAAACTATTGCATAGCTGTCAGAATCACTTTTACTGGAATGTGGGAAGAGAGTAAAAAGCTTACAACTAAGAAAACAATCAGGAAAAGGGCAACTGAAAAAGGGTAAGAGCACTTTGTAGTATTGTAAAATACCCTTGCCACACTCCCTACCTTGGCCACAGTAGCAGTCTTAAAGATAGCATGCTACTCTACTAGCCTGAGAACCTAATCCTGACAACAGTCAAAGGGATCCCATTCCCAAGGAATTGTTTGTCTTGACTTGGCTCCCAAGTAAAAGAGACCTCATTCCCAAGGAACTGTTTTGATTCAAGGGTCTGAGTGCATTTCAGCTAAGTCAGAACTTTGTTGCAATTGATACAGGAGCTAGAAAGAAATTATTTAGGTAGATAGTGAGGGTTAAGGAGCCCTCAAGCAAAGCTTCCCTTTTAATAAAAAGCAGCCCCCAAATCATTTCTTTTCTAACAAAGAGCAGCCTGAAAAATAGAGCCGCAAACATAGATAAGCAAGCTGGAAGCTTGCACAAGTAAAGGCTGTGCAATAGAAAAGGAGGCAGTGTCTGATTTACATAGGACATGAAAAATTGGTCAGACCAGGTGTGCCACTTGCATAGGATGTGAAGAAGCTGGCCGCCCCACCCTAACCTTTCATTATGCAGATGGATTCTCTACCGGGCCAGCTCCATGTTGCCTGCTTTTTTACTGTAACATACCTGGCTTCCAGGTAGCCCTGGAAACTTATCCTGTTGAATGACTAGCGGAATTACTAGCCCTGGAAGCCAGGTATGTTAAACATACAGGCTCCATCTTGCCCTTTTTTTTTTTTTTTTTTTTTGAGACAAAGTCTCACTCTGTCGCTCAGGCTGGAGTGCAGTGGTGCCATCTCCGCTCACCAAAACCTCCGCTTCCTTAGTTCAAGTGATTCTCCTGCCTCAGCCTCCCAAGCAGCTGGGATTACAGGCGTGCACCATGATGCCTGGCTAATTTTTCTGTGTATTTTTAGTAGAGACAGGGTTTCACCATATTGGCCAGGCAGGTCTCGAACTCCCAACCTCAGGCGATCTGCCCACTTTGGCCTCCCAAAGTGCTGGGATTACAGGCGTGAGCCACTGTGCCCGGTCTCCATCTTCCCTTTTCTTTGTCACCACGTGTACAGTAAAAAAGCAGGCAACATGGAGCTGGCCCGATAGAGAATCCATCTGCATAATAAAAGATTAGGGTGGGGCGGCCAGCTTCTTCACATCCTATGCAAGTGGCACACCTGGTCCCACCAATTTTTCATGCCCTATGTAAATCAGACACTGCCTCCTCAAGCTCATCTGTAAAACCTGCATTTGACTGCGGAAGTGGCAACCTGTTGCTGGAAGTCAGGGACCCCGAACCCTGAAGCCGTAGCAGAATGACATAAATTGTGAAGATTTCATGGACATTTATTAGTTCCCCAAATTAATACTTTTATAATTTCTTACGCCTGTCATTACTGTAATCTCTGAACATAAATTGTGAAGATTTCACGGGCACTTATCACTTCCTCAATGAATATCCTTGTGATTTCCTATAACTGTCTTTACTTTAATCTCTTAATCTCGTCATCTTCTTTGTAAGCTGAGGAGGATGAATGTCGCCTCAGGACCCTGTGGTTGTGTCAACTGCACAAATTGTAGAGCATGTATGTTTGAATATGAAATCTGGGTATCTTTAAAAAAGAACAGGATAACAGCGATGTTCAGGGAACAAGAGAGGTAACTTTGAACTGGCCGCTGGTGAGCCAGACGGAACAGAGCTATATTCCTCCTCTTTCATAAGCAAATAGGAGAAATATCACTGAATTATTTTTCTCAGCAAGGAACATCCCTGAGAAAGAGAATGCGCCCTGAAGGTAGGCTTACAGACAATCTCTTTTTAAGGCGTTGTCTTTTACAGTCGAAGCCGAAGGGATGAAATAAGCCCCGGTCTCCTATAGTGCTCCCAGACTTACTAGGATGAGTAAATTCCCACCTAATAAATTATGGTCAGACAGGTTACCTGCTCTCAAACCCTGTTTCCTTGTAAGATGTTATCTATGACAATGCGTGCCTGAAACTTCATTAGCAATTTTAATTTTACCTCATCTGGTGGTCCTGTGATCTCGCCCTGCCTCCATTTGCTTTGTGATATTTTATTACCTCGTGAAGTATGTGATCTCTGTGACTCACACCCTATTTGTGCACTCCCTCGCCTTTTGAAAATCACTAATAAAAACTTGCTGGTTTTATGGCTCGGGGAACATCACGGATCCTGCCAACATGTGATGTCTCCCCTGGACACCCAGCTTTAAATTTCTCTCTCTTGTGCTCTTTCCCTTTATTTCTCAACCCAGCCGAGACACTTGGGAAATAGAAAAGAACCCACGTTAAACATCGGGAGTGAGTTCTCCCGATAGCAACCCATTTTCTCCAGGACCCCTCTCTGTGCAGACAGTTCTCCTTCTTTCACCTATTAAACGTCCACTCTTAACCTCACCCTGGTATGTTCACATCCCGGTTTTCGGTGGCTGTGGGACAACGAACCTTGAGTATGACCCCAGACAACATGAAGACATAGCTACACAGGGGATATTTTTCAAAAATACTAAAAGGCAAATTAACAAGTCGCTGCTATGTAGGGCAAAAGAACAGTTGAGACAAACAACAGATATGCGGAAAGCCAAGAGAAGAAAAGGTAGGGAATGAGAATCTTTGGGGGATAAAGTCTTGGAAAAAGCGCTCAAGTATACCAGGGAACTAGAAAGCCACTTGAATGCTCAGGGCAGAATGCATGCTTAGAAGAGAACTGAGGGGAGCATAACTTCAACCTCTGGCTAATCACTAGGCTAAGGACAGGACCAAGGCAGGGTTGTGAAAGACCTGGCT